TGTCAACGTCGTATTTCTCGGACCGACCACCACGTGCTCAGTTACATGCACGGGACAAACCAGCAGCTACCGTGGTGTGAGAAGCCTCGCGTCTAGTTACGAAGTCGTAGCTTGTTGTATGCACGAAACTACTTATCTGCCGGATTGCTTTACAGAGGCTTTAAAGCGGCTTCTCGGCACCTCTGAAGATGATCTCAAGCTAGAGAAGTGCCATGAGACGAAGATCCCCGGCATTGGAAAATTAAGGTACGCTGAACCCCTACCAGCGTTGCATTAGGCATCTTCGGCCGAGACATCCCGCTTGATCTGTTCCTATTCTTAGAAATTTTTGCATAATTTTATTTTTTTCATTTCCTTTTTTCCTTCTTGGGGAAAGGGATCTTGACAGGCATATATGGCCGAGCACCAGCTTGATCCGTTATTCTCGTTTATCAACATGCGTTTGTGGCTCCCGCCCAAATGAATCAATTGATTTGTGTGGATGCGGAGATAGACCCTACTAGGAAAGGAGCTCTCTGATTGAGGGAAATTTGTTGACCCATGAATTAATCCGTCGGTCAGAGGCCAAGAAAGCTGCCTCGGTCACCTGAAGCCTCCTGAAAATCGCTTTGCGGCTAGTTATGCTGTGTCCTTTTACCGTGCCATGTGCTTGCTATCTCTTGGGTCGGCTCCTCTACCGGTGCACATATGGGAGTGTTTGTCACACGCCTCACGCATCTTTGAGCTCAACCCTACATACAGTTAGGTTAGTGGGTTGCCGCTTACGGCGTCCTGCACCCAGCCACAAACATCGTGACGGCTCACCCAATACAGCAGTTGGTGAGAATATTGGCTGCACTGTTCGCTAGAAATCAGGGTACTATGGCACCATACATGCTGGAGAGCCCATGGCCGGGATTCGCTGAGCCATTTGCTAAAATACCACCGAACTGGGCTGCTAACGACGTCAGTTGCGCACTAGCTAGCATGGCCATCAATACGCATGTCAGCACCAAGCACTAGTAATTGCTTGGTTCACGAACTTGGAAACGACCGTGTCCTATTTGAGCATAGACAATAGCCGAGCGGCTCACATAGTGAACGCCTCGTAGAAAGTGCCTTGGCTGGCCCACGCGCCTAACAGTCCAACCCATGATGTGTCAGCCACTGGTTTGTTGTTTGATGGCTAAATTGCCATGGTACGGGAGTTAGACAACTATTCACCCACTTTGTGTTACCCTCAATTGAGGTTATTGATGTCGTGGCCTCAAAGACCATCTATGTGTTTTCGACGGCGAATCTCTAAACATGCCGCCGGCATATACACTATTTGATATTGCATCTTCTCTCTTCGCACATCTGTTTTAAATCCGGGACAAGCATATGCGCTTTGCGGATAGTTGAACTTGTGAGCTCCTTAAGACCTATCGTATAGCTACATCCCAGTAAGCACCTTCTAGTGGATGCTCAAGAAGCATTGGCACCGCCAGCATAGAGGAGCCTCCTATGCAATTCGTTCGGTATCCCAGGTATCAGGGCCCTACTGCGGGGTGAATCCTTCGGGATCACTTTCCCTGCAAAAGCCACGAGACGACCAAATCCCGACTCATCATGAATACGTAGTTACTTAGCGACTGGCATCAAAAGTGCCAGGTTTCTGATCACCCCGAGGTTGCACACAATTTCCATGGCATCAGGATCGACGGGGATAGCCCCTTTGATTCGACGACTCCAAACGACTGTTTAGTCTGGTATGAGATGACACGAAGAGAGCTCCCGGTGGGTTTAGTCAAATGGCCCCAGAGAAAGGGTCGTGAGCAGCAAACAGTACTCCTTAGACTCGATCTTGTGCGATCACGATCCGGCTAGCCGTTCAATGGCGCGGATAGATGAACTTACACTGGCCTGCAGATTTTATGATAATAGCCTACGTAGTTGTTGCCTGAAGCTACATTGCTTGTCACAAAGAAGACTAGACAGGGCCCGTTGGGCCGTTGCATTGGGTCTTGCGAATCCTGCGAGCTGAAAATCCCCTCTTATTAAACAATGCCTTGCTCGGCGGCCTGCAAGCGAGCAGTTTGAGAGGTAGGCATCTCTCTGTATGGGCTAGTAACGGTGTGTCAACGTCGTGGGAGTTTCCATCCACCGTAGTCATGCCATGTATCGGAGTCTGTGGCGTAGGCGTTGGACCACCAGTTATCATCTGATGGCGGACATGCGAAATAAATGCCGCTATTGATCGGTACCTCAAAGGCACAGCAGAGACTAAACTGTGGATTTATGCCCAGTGATTGGAAGGTGTATCGTGGAAGCATATTCCTATATGCAATTGATCTTGGTACTAGCGTGGCCATCTGGCCTTAGAGACTGGCTCGGCAGCGCAGTGTGGTGAACTAGAGGAGGCCTTCAGGCTGGGTGGTTGCATTACTTGTTTCAGCCCCGAAATGGCGCCGTGAACTTCATTGGATGCTGTTCTTGTGCCAGACGAAGAGAAAGTTTTGAGTTTGTGGTTCACACAGCATTTGCCATAGTGGTACTGTAACGAACCAACTGTCACTGTTATGGCGCTGTGTCTAAGAAAAAGAACTGGCGCAGAACCCATTGGCGATCTTAATGGAGACATACATACTTGCAAAACTCGTATACAGGCATGATATCAACAGCATGAAGTAGCAATAGGTCGCAAGAAAGCACGGTATTCGTAGCTATTGATCATGAACATAAGATGTGCATCGTGGAGGTGCGTCCATGCCTCCAAATTCGAGGCCTTGTACTCAACAGAACGACCTACTGCATCTGCACTTCTACCTCCATCGTAGGCTGCGGCGCGCCCTGTCAATTGGTCACTCGGTAGCCACCCGGTTATGTCTCCTGCTCAGCTGTTCCAGTGCCCACTTACGATGTGAGCCGATAGGAACGTGTGTCCCTAGACATACCGACCTCACCAAAGATTTCATGAGACTAACCTGGCAACATTCTGTTTGCTAGATAGATGCATCTCTGTTGATCGTCGCAGCCTTCGTTATTTAGGCTTACTATACCTTATTCCAGTATGATCGTGAATTGAGGACGAGCCACTACCTTTGTTCTAATTCTTAGAGGCTGCTATTCAGCGGCACACATGTGTCAGCAGAACTAAGTGAAACCGTCGGAACCCATAAACACACAACTAGATACATGTGTCTAACTTAATGTGTTGTATATGGACTTCTGTGGTATCAAATCCTGATGCGGCTCAGATTCTGATTACTTGTAATCATGGTTAGACATTAGCCATACTCTCACCGGATCATAAGATCGGAACCCTAGCAAAGAAAGCGATACTTCCAAAGCTATAATCGAAGGAATCATGTATAAAAATAGCCACTTGCAGTGTTCTTGAAGGATCGGAGGGTGGCGTGGCTATGCAAGAGCCGCACGGTCGTTCCATCAAACGTGCACAACATGAGCAACTGTAGTTTCTGAGAGGTCGAAACAATACTAATAACCATACCATTTTATCTAAGTGCATGCTCACCGAATAATTACTCAAGTCTTTGATGCTTTACGATCAGGTTGGGCTCCGAGATAATTCTGCACTCTGTGGGCGGGTCCGCAGAAGGATCATTCCTCTGTAACAAGACCCAATCAACGGCCAGTAGATCAACAGAAGTACTATACATGTGTGAGCGACCACTCTATTTGCGGAGGTCTGCCAAATTTGGCTCATGGAGTCAGCACTTTAACAAGGCTTCTCTGCTAAGCAGCAGAAGTAATTGTTGATGTCGGATTTCATCGTTTGAGGCTTGCAGCGGCGACTGTTGTTGGCCTCACCATTGGTCCATGTTGACTCTGTCTGGGCGAAGGGGCAGTGAGGAACAGTCCTTGAAGGATTAGCACATAATAAAAGTGTATTGTGCATGAATCTTTCGGTGACCAAAACCTTTCAACTATTTGCCTAAACATATGTACTGGAAAGTATTCTGAATCGCATCAATGTATAGAAATTGACCAATCGAAAGCCCTGCAATAATACCCAACATGGAGAATCATAGATTTACTTGGGTGAAACATGGCTATTATATGCAAACTATGTAAGATGCTATCACGTTGGAAAATTTTGTGTTGTCGTAAGCAAGAGGCTCATCTCGACTTCGCGGGGCATACTCTTCCTGCTGTTCTCGCACTCAAGTGTGTAGCTCTTGATTCATAGCACCACACGACCAAGGATTTTTATAGAGTTATCTACCTAGGTACGCACGTTTCTATACATATTTTAGCATTAAAAATTTGAAAGTTACGAAGGCCAAATCAATGCACGTCATATCAGGGCTGATGGCGTTAGGTGAGCAGCCGTAAGATGGTATGATGGTATTGTGTCCCATGTGCGACGGTCTTCTCGCTGATATCGGCCACATCAACGGTTTATTTAATGACACGCTCTATAGACCTCTGAATAACATAATAATATTATCACGGCTATTAATTGCGGACTCAAGAAGCTAATGAGGTACGCAAATTCTTGTTACACATTTCTATAGATATGTCGAGCGACCTTAGGTTTGGCTTCCTTCAAGACGCTTATACTCCGCATTTATTAAAAAGAATTATTTTCGTCCAGAGATCTGCTTGGAAATTTCACGTTCTTGGTTTACTGCCATAGGGTTTAATTTGTTGATGAGTTTGGAGGGTAGTCTTCCTGCTCCTTGCCCACCACTGGCCTCATGATACACACAATGACGCCGCTCCAATTACTCCGTGACTTTACGCTCAAAACCATGAGCAATAAGTAGTTATAACTAGTTGAATATATATATATATAGCTTTCTTACTTCTGTGATATCCTGTGAATTGACCTTTTTGATTAGGACGTAAGTTGTTGTTGTATATATCTGGCCCAGCCCAACCAATCCTGTTCATCTGGTCAAACTTCATGGCGATAATTGCGATGCAGACTGGGTATGCCTTTTGGCTGCTCAAGTTTCGAGTAAATTCACGGGCAATCGAAGCATCGTCGAACCATGACTTCGTCATCAACAAACTTAGATGTCGTTGTGGAATGTGGGAGGTTTCTGCCAGGCGCTATTCCTCCAGCGAGACCCATTGAGTCGAAGCAGAACCATCATTATTAAGAACACAACGTTAATCAAGGCGAAGATAAGCCAGGCGTATTGATATCCAATGCTCTCACCTAGAGGAATACTGTTGATTTTCAACTGTGAGTGGTTTGGTTGCCCAAAGTCCAAGGAATACTCACGCGTAGAAAGACGTAGTCATCGAAAATATGTGTCGGAAAACATTGAGGATACTGGAGACCTCCGAACTCTGAGGCCTATAGCACTGCTATATGTCAGCCCAGTTCTGTTAATAGATGAGATTATCGCGACAAACATCAGTGCAGTAAGTATACGTAACAGTAGTCGCGATTTGCATGCCAAAGTTTGCCAGACCCATTCCAACAGCCGGACCGATCCAAGAAATGGTACTGTGGTGAGATAAACATACACCGTCAATAATGATCCCAATTGGGCATAATACAGCAAGGACCAATGCGTTGATGCGTGGTTCCGGCTCCCGTCGTCCGCCATGAGCTTTGGCGTGTCGATAAACCATATAATCTGTTACCCAACCTGCACACATTTCACCTAACAAACACCCTATAAATAGTGGTATACTAAGTATTAAGCCAGTCTGCGCAACATTAAAATGGTACAGTTCACTAAATATATGAGCACCAGTTGTAGCGAACAACACGGACCCAAATCCAAAGGCGGTCATGTAGTACAGACCAGGAATGACGATAGGAATGTACTTTAACATATAAAATGGTCGAAGAAAATCACTCCAATGGAGCTTAGTATTCTGGAACTCCATGTTCTTGAAGAGAAGAAGGTCTGCAAAAGAGCTCTCGGAGTCTGTTGATACTGGCTGACGTGAGTATAATGTTTCTGGTAGGCAAAGTAGCGTGAACACCAGTGTGGCTAGCTGCACATAGCCCTGCTTGATCGGTTATAACTTGAGTGAGTAAAACGTATAAATAAACTTACTTACAGGTATGAGAAATGCCCATCGCCACCCGAGACTTTGTGAGACGAATCCACCAATTAATGGCGCCACGTGAGCTCCATTTGTCAGAAACAACGTATAGATCCCCATGTAGAATCCACGTTCGTGAGAATAATACAAATCACAAACTGTAGCAGGTCCAATTGCAATTGGAGAACCAGAAGCGATACCATTGAACACTCTCGTTACCATAAGCCCAGACCAAGATTTACAATAACCAGCTGCGATGTTCGTGGCCGCAGCTACTAGAGTACCAAGAACGTATACTGGCCTCCGGCCATATATGTTGGCTAAAGGCAATGTAAGAAGCGGCCCAACACCAGCTGCTATTATGTAGACTGTAAGCTCATAAGAAACCTGAACTACAGATATGTTGAACTCTTTGCTAAGCAGCAGGAAGGCAGGATTGACTATGGCGGCTCCCAAAGGTCCCAAGAAAGCAAGCCAGCTAACCTGCAAAAGAACGAGTGCCTTTAATGGTGGTGACCAGTTCTATGCTGAGTTAGTCTATGAGCTGACCAGACGTCACAGACGTTTCATGTCCACGATTGGACGTACCAATGGATCGTCTTTTCGACTCGTCGGTTGTGGAATCAATGGTAAGCCATGCTTGTCGAGCTTCAAAATTTCAATATCTTCTCTGCCTCCAATGCTTCCAGAGTGCTGCGCGACTCCTTGGCCAATGACCATCCTAGCTGGATTTTCTTCACATTCATGGTGTAAAACCTCCTCTTTGTCCCGTCGAAAGCTCATTGTAGTGATTCGATGATTGAAGTGTGATGATAAAGCTGACTGAAAGACAGAATTAATAGAGTGCGCAGAAGGAGAAATCGCAAAAGTTCGCGGAATAGAATGTGGTCTTTCTGATAAACATGACCCCCCTCACTGATACTGCAGTACACACGGCACTTGCATTGGAGTTTAGATTTCGATGGTATAGTGAGGTTGCATCACAGCTGGTAGAGGTTGCTTCGTGCTTCACTTGCACCAGTGTCTCTCCACACCAGACAATCAATGCCATAGGCTGTATGACTACCAGAATCCGCAATTGGCGCACGAGGTAGTTTCTCCTTGTGCAATAAGCAGCTCGCTGACTGGAATATGCGAATTGAACCTCGATGTAGCGTAAGACCGCATAAACCCCTGCAAAATTGATCTGTATGGTATCAGTGATGTGATGGTGACTTATTCCCCGCTTTGCACAGGGCCTTGCTCGTGGGGTACAAGTCGCAGCTTCAGATCACGACTGCAAGCAAAACCTGCCCATCTCGTGGCCAAAAAGCAGAACACCCAGAGAAGAGAGCCAACCATTTCCCATAAGCCGGAGGTCACCGCAGACATCGTTCTTCAGTTCCCACAGATTTTTAACTGCTTGGCACCACATATTGCCGTCCAGTAAATTTTAACTAATGACACCCAAAGTCTATCGTGCACCATTGACGGTGGCTATCATTGGTGGTGGCATTGGCGGACTATGCACTGCCCTTTCGCTTCACCACCACTGCGGATCGTCAGTTGATATAAATGTATATGAGCAAGCTCCACAATACAAAGAAATCGGCGCAGGCGTTGGTATCGGCGTCAACGCCGCGAAGTTGCTGAACAAACTAGGTATAGCCGACGCAGTGTCCAAGATATCTGGGAAACGCAGCAAGGTGTGGATCAGCTTCCGGAAATTCGATGATGGAACAGATGTCGTGACAGTGCCCTCCGCCGATACAGAAGAGATCAAGCAATTGCCGGTGCACCGTGCAGAATTCCTTGATCTTCTTGTGGATATCATAAATCAGAGGGAGGCTGCGAAGCTCCATACCAATAAATGTTGTGCTAAACTTACGGTATGACTACTGAAGTAAAATATCAATGCAAGCTAATTGGCGAGCAGGATTTGGAAAACGAGGTCCTGATCGCGTTTCAAGACGGGACGACTGTTACAGCAAACCTGGTTATCGGTTGCGATGGTATACACTCTGCTGTCAGAAGCCAATTCGCAACCGATAAACCAGAATATAGTGGTCGTATCGCATACCGTGGATTGGTACCGATATCAGAGATTCAGGACTGGTGGGGTTTTGACACTTACGCTGTAACATGGCTTGGAAAGAATCGTCACTTCTTGTGTTTTCCCATATCCAATAACAGGACACTAAACATTGTCGCGTTTGTGGCCGAAAAGGAAGAAAACCTAGGCGACCTAATAGAAAGCTGGACGGCGCTCGGTCATAAAGCAGAGATCTTCGAGGCTTTCAACGGGTTTGAGGAAAAGGTCCAGAAGCTGATCAGATTGATGCCTGAACAACCTTCAAAATGGCTGATTAATGATCGAAAACCTCTGGACCAGTGGACATACTTGGACGGCAAGGTTGTATTATTGGGAGATGCTGCCCATGCTATGACCCCCCATCAAGGTTAGACTCTTTGTAAAGCATGAACGTTCACTTTACTCACAGCAATAGGTGCTGGTGCAGGCCAGGCTATCGAAGACGGATATATCCTTGGTCGGGCACTTAAAGATTACTTGGGAAGCCCGTCCCCTCCGAAGCCAGGCGACCTAGAAACTTGGGCTCAAGTATATCAGCACGTACGCCTTCCACGTGCGCAAAAGGTTGCCAGAACTTCCCGAGATGCTGTCGAGATCTATCAAGCTCAGGCAGATTTCATGAAAGACCTACCTTTCGACCAGTGTGTGCCTGAGATCAACCGGCGAGTCCAAGCCCGTATGGGATGGATATGGACGGATGATATTGACGCGGAATACGACTTAGCAGTAGAGAACCGCAGAAAGCCATAAGTGAGCAGACTGATTAGATTTAAGTACTCGGCGTCCGACCTGTGCAAATGACCGTACTATGTATCCAGACGGTGCGACATCGACCGTAGCTTCCGCAAACTTGAATCGAAATCGTGGTCTGTGCCCGCGACAGAAGACTTGACATATACATTTCCATGCCAAAACAAACAGCCCAATTAGAACTGCATAAAAATGAAATATTGATACATATAGCTGCTACAAATCATGTGAAGATTCATTAGTGGGATAAGTGGTTAGTAGGAGAAGGAGTAATGGGTATTGCGCCTCGTCGATGACACACCGGTCTGACGCTGCAAATGCGATCTATGGTAAAAAGAAGACGAATTACGAATGTAAAAGAATCATAACTCCGACACGGGGAATCGAACCCCGGGCATGACGGATCAGAATGAGAGCGTCATATGTTAGCCACTACACCATATCGGACAGTGTTGGATTAATCCGTGTTATTTAGTATTATATTGATAAAAGCCGAAGAAAAACCGAACACCCATCTTTGGTCTCCACATACACAAACTTCTTTATTAAAGGAGGTGTTTTGAGTATTCAATGTAAACCTATGACGATTTCTCTGTATCCCTACATTACGGATCAATTAGTCTCAGCTCTTGCTGAAAGATGCGAAAAATCTTGCTCAAACACAGGGGCAGACACAATCATCCGTCATTGGAGCAATGAACTAAAATAAAATTGAGTTGTTCTGAAGATTGCATATGGAATCTGGATCTATAAGTATTTTTGCCACTATCGAATCTTCACTCATATGTTAAATACAATTTATCGCATAGTACTTTCATGATAATATTGAGATAGATCACATACGTGTATATCTACATTATATGTGTAATCGTGTTTCCAGCATGGTACGTTAAAAAATGACCACCGACTCATGCTGCACAACCATGACGCGTTGGATTTCCTACGCGGTAATATTGATGGGCAAATATTCATTCGTATCTATCTTCTGACCCCCCAACATGACTTCCTGGAGCCATCTATTGGTATATGTTCTCGTTATTCTGACGTACAAAAACGATTAGGTGTTGGTCTTCTCGATGAACATGCCCTCCCAAGTGGGAGATATCCATTGCGACAAATGTAAGAAAGTTTTAATGAAATGCTGCTCTTTGGATATCAAACTCGTGACTCAGGTCGCGGTTTCTCACTCAATGTTACAGTTTTCTTCTGCTTCACTACACTTCATGCTCCGAGTCCAGCTCTATGGAGACCTTGCATGAAATCGTGATATATTCTCTGCAGTATTTATTACTGCGATCACGGATACTTGCGATATCTGCATCGGGAGAGAAAGACTCAGGGATGCCTTCGGATATCTTCCAGCAGTGAGCGGATAAAATAACATGAAGAACATTCAGATGCATCGTGACAACGTAATGGAAAGTATGAGGAGATAGACACGCCCCTGAAAACCGCAATCGGTGACGAACAACGACGAAGTCAAGGATGAACTACCTTGAGGACTCTCTATCGTTTCGGAAATCCTGCAACCAAAAACAGAAGTGGAGTTGACGACGGCCGACATTAGATATATCCGAAAAACTATCATGTAAAATGAGCTTTTCACTAACCGTGCCCACCCACTTTCGCACGCACCCCCTTTTGCACGCCGATTTACCGACGTTTCCTCAAACACACTGATAGATAGATACAACAACTGCCAGCCATAACACCATGAAATCAATTCAAATAAACTATCTCTAGGTTATTTACGTGTCCGCTTTCGCGTGGAAGGTTGTATTTCGAGGAACGAGTCAATAGGGACTTGTTCATTGCGTTGTAGCTCAGGCATCTTCCTTTTCAGCTTGTCTTGCGCTGGTCTGATCTCTGCAACACTAGCAAAGACCTTATTCGGGTCTTTTCTAACTGTTTGACGTTTATCAGGCTTGTGATTATCTAGTTCAGCTTGCAAATCGAGGTTTGCTTGACGTGTTGTTGCTAGTTCTGCGAGCGCCATGTCAAGTGACTTAGCACATTTCCCAAGCAACTCCCTTACGTCTCTAGAAGTTTGCGAATGATTGATGGTAACGTCCCTAATTTGAAGTCGAAGGTCCTTACTATTATGAGGAGTAAACAGACCAATTTCAGCTAGATCTGACTCGTTTTGTGGTGTTGTAGGTTGAGTGTCAGGTGATGGTGGGAAGAACTCAGGGTCACCTAACACCATTAATTCATTTAAGGGGTAAATACCCGTTTTGGCCCAGCCGCTTTCGATAATTTGTTTCGTAAAAGCAAGGGCACAAGCTTTATCATAAGCTTCAAGCATCCGTTGCTTGTTAACGGGCCCAGTAGCTTGAATACCACGGTATAGGCTTATTAGCCTATGGTAGTGGGACTTCAACGATGAGAAGACCGTCTTGTCAAGTGGTTGGAGCGCTTCGCTTGTGTGTGCTGGTAGGTATATCAAGGCAATCCTCTTCCTGAATGCCCTTAGCATGAACCCGGGTGTAACATGAGTACTGTGGCCATCGAGGAGGAGCATCCTCCATGGGTTTGGGCAGTCTGGGGACTCTTGTGGTCTGGTTTCTGGCTCGAAGACCTCTAACAACCATGACAGCGCCACTGCTGAGTTGGTCCAGCCCTTAGGGGTCGCTGTATACTCAGCTTCCTCAAGATCCTCAGGTAACCATTGTGCTTGTAGTGTTGTTCCTCTTAGTATATACGTATTCGTTGTTTTCAACCCGATAGCGTTGATACTATGGATAACTGACATCCATCCAGTTGCTGGGTTTTTCGCAACGCGTGAACGACGTGACCTAGACGTCCCGATGACTGTGCCTTGACTTTGTTCGGCTTCTTGTACACCTGTTTCATCCATATTATAGATGTCCTTTGGTAGGATCTTATAGGTGTCTTTGACCTGTGATATATACGTGTAAAAGTCCTTTACGGTCTGTTTTTCAATGCCTTTGACCCTCTCAGCGTCAATTACACGTCCAACCTTAGTCTTCAAGTGTGGGTGGCGGCTAAGGAACTTGTATACCCAATTGTATCCAGGGGTGACCGTATCGTCGATTTCGCCGATACCAGTCATGATATTAGCCGCTATTTGTCGCACCATATTCGAGCCCGGAGCGCGTCCACACAATTCCTCATGTAAAATCCATTGCTCAAGCTCCATTTCTTGCAATTCAGATAGGTTCTTTGACGTTTCGTGGGCTGAGGAATGTGGTTGCGACCCGTTAAGTCGTCGCGACAAAGTAGACCGTACGATACCGAAAGCTTTGGCTGCGCGCGTTATCGTTTCGCCGTTTCGAACCAAACTAATTGCTTCTGCTACATCGCGTTCATTTAGTTTACCCATATTGAAAATATCAGATCGATAGGATTACAATTGGTTGAGTTCTAGCATTTACAAGAAAAGCGTGGTGTTGTTGACGCGTCGGAAGATCGGCGTGCAAAAGGGGGTGCGTGCGAAAGTGGGTGGGCACGGTTATAGGACTATTCGAAACTCTTATACAGGTAATCAAGAAGTAGTAAGATTGCGAGGACAAGACCCCTGAGGCTGCCGAGGGCAAGCTAACCTTAAGTGGTTTGAGAGCTGAATGCCCACATCTCACATCTCGAAAGGTGACTTTATTATCTTCAGGTTTGATTCGCGTGATGGATCCTCCAATATCCTTGTTTAATTTGCTCTAAGGAAAACCTTCCCTTGAGATGTATCAGGCGTTCATGATACGTACACGATTGGACGGCAGCGAGCATCGCCGCAGGCACTATTGTTCAACTGAACTGCAGAGGAGTCCTCTTTTGAAAGTATTTTAGCGGTAGTCTAGAAACTGCGTAAGAATTCAGGGCACATTCAGGCAATTCTTTAGCGTTGGAAACTCCGGCATTTGCGTCAACGAAACGGTGGGTAATTATATGGTCAATTTCAGCCCTGTCTGATGAGTAATATATTAAACCTATCATGTTATTGTCGGTGTTAAGACTATGAAGGCTCTAACCCCAGCAGGACCAATACTCTGGCTTCATTGCACTCTCCGTCGAGTTTCCCTTGGATACAAGCGCGCCCAAGTATGACGATGGATCGAGACTCACGATCAGTGCTCCTTCTGAAATGTGGTGTGCTTGGCGACATATGAGTCCACGGCTCTTGTCTTGGCCGTTTAATGTGTCACATTTCTGGCCGACCACCATTGATTGGGTTGAGATGTCTGTACTATGCCTACGAATCAGGCACGTTTTTAGTGAGTCGATGCCTATAATCGTTCAATACGGCCGAAATCACAGAAATAGATGCATACACCTTTAATACCCCGACGATTTAAGATCTGTCGACAGCTTCTGAATATAGATCTCGTTTTACTCATGACCCAGCGCTATGGTTGTCAAACCAAGGGCTGAAACAGCCGCTCACTCCTTGTGCAGACTGCTAAGCGCTCAAGATCAGTACAATCTTCCATGGTTGGTTAAGTTGCGATGGCTCAATTCCAGCAGAAGGACGTCTTGAGGTTGCATGAAAGGCCGCATTAATTGAGGCTATTAAGTTGGTGACTATGATCTTGTTTGTGTAGACGGTCTGATGTCATGAAAAGCGCTCAGCCTGGAGCATTCTGAAGCCAGTTGTCAACAGCCAACTAGATATAGATTTGACTTCAAATGCTGATTATGATCCCTCGGAAGAGCTATTGGTAGTTTTATAAGCTCTTTGTCCGATGGTCTGAAGACACTCGCATCTCGGCGTGTCTTAGACCATAAATATATCTTACCGATAATCCAATGATTTGAAGTCGTCGAAAGGCTGGTAATTATCTGGTAGGTGTAGGTAAAGACCAGGATGCCACAATCCGAGATGGCGCACCTCAAGTGTCACACTTCTGCAACTTGTCGGAGCCAAGGGGAGGCATATGGAGCATACTCAATTTCACTACCACTTCAGCTGAAGTGAGCACTTCTTTAGGTCTTGGAGGGAGGCCCTTGGCATCTTGGGCTCGATATTAGTAGTGACTGGGACCATTATTACACTTGGCATCATGGGATTTCTCGTATTCCTCTGGACGGGAAGAAGGTAAAAAATGCAGCACCGGCTTGGAGGTTTTTGGCCTTACGACGATGGGTTACTCAGGTTATCACTCTTTCGGCCGTTGTGTTGCGTATTGTTAATGCCACCCAAGCTACGGTGTGTAGCAGTCTAATCGCGGCACTGGTATTCAAAAGTTAAGTCAACTACTACCTTCCAATCACAGCGGTGTATTCTTTTGAGGCTGTTCTGTCTAACTGTGTTGACCTATCTAGACAAGGAGCTCCTTCATCACAGCTTGCTGAGTACTCGCTAATCAGAAGCAATACCGACGACCCTGTTAGACTGTCTTGGCTAATGCTATCATCTCTGCGCCGATCGCCGGCTTTGCAAACTTTTTGGTTATTATATTGCTATCCGGCTTCATTACAGTACAATTTACTTCCACAATACTCGTCTCTGATCTGGACATCTCGACTATTGTTGGCAACGCCAGAAAACGAATCTAGAGGCGTGGATGCTTTTTTGGACACGTTTAATCAGATGAATATCGTCGATTAATACCACTTGAAGCCCAGCTTTCAGGCCTTCGCCGAATTTCCTGGGTCTGATCCAATGCCCACGGCGACTGGTCTCAGCGACACCGGGATCGTGAAGCGCCTCCAACAAGCTTGCGCCGATATGATGGAAGGGTATCCATATCAAATTCAAGAGTGCTTTGCCTACGTCCGTAGATTAACAATATGTCATTGGTTCCCGAAGCTTTAAACATCCCTGACATAATTCTCGATTTCGTGCCGTATTTGTTGGGAGATATCTCATATGACACAACTTTATAAAGAGTTGGGATACTATTACAGTATAATTGCCCACTAGGTAATTGTTTTCCAACAATGTTCAATTGCTCACTGGGCGTACGCACTGGGACGCCTGGAATATAGGCTCTGAGTGTATGTATTCCAAGTGGTCGAAATGCAGCACCCAAGAGAATGAACGACACAATACCCGGAGATCCCATCGTAATCACGTCTGCTGTCTTCCTCTTCACACGAAATAACATAGATTCTAACACTTCATTTGAATGAACTACGTATGGCTTCGGCAATGAAGTCGGCCTTGATGCAATAATATGCTTCTACCAAGCATATTAAGATCGGGAAATTGTTCAACTTTAGATTACCCAAGATTTCGCGGATGCGACGGTATCATGAAATGTCAACGCAGCTACATGGGACACATCAGGGGCAAGGCGAATGTTTGAATACAATGCTGCCAAGCTTATTCATGCCGCATGAAGAATTTATACTACTGGTGAAGTTAGGAATATTTAAAGGTCAAGCACTACATCACTCTTGACGAAATTCATAAGAATAGACGGATTCAACACGGTCGAGAACATGAACGTTTCTATAACCTGTTTCCTATGGCGGTGGCTTCTCAACCCTCTTTCCCCACCTTACATATCAAGCCCTTTTTTCTGAAGCACTGGAGACGACGAGTAGGCCAGCAGTTGCATTTCAGGGCCTTTCAACCGCCGTCTTAGGATCCGCCATAGACAGCATGTTGAAACTGTTAGATGCCTAGGAGACCAGAACAACGGTATCGGTCGTATCAGTTCAAGTCCCTCAGAGATCGCTCGGTTTAGCGTTTGTGCTCTCTATCAATTGCATAAGTATTATTCTAGTTGTGGTCGTATCGTTGTTCTTGACTAGGACTGAGTGCACAAGTAGAGGCAGCTACTGACATACGGTGGCGCAGATTGTGTCGGGGCTCACTGAGACGATTCTCCACGATTCAAGCATTGCAACTTTACGGCTAAAATCCAGCAGAGAAGAATCAATGGTAAAGTTGAAATTGTCAGATGCGGCAATTGGCGATAGCCCTAGATCTCACTTGCAAATTAACACAAGTTCCCTGACAGCTAGTAGCGAAACGACAAACGCTCAGCAAATGAGAAGATAGGCCGATATCAGTTGTTCGCAGGAAAATAACTGGAACGGAGCCACGGACTGTCGAGGTGCATCGATCTCTCGATAGGCCGGTACGCTGACCTGTTGTCCCCAAGCAGTTTCATCACAGGGACAAGTCAACGATCAATGGATCACAACTGCCATAACTTGCTTTTAACGAACTATGACATTCAAAAACAGTGGGCCCACCGTCAATAGAACGATGGTAATCTCAGGGTATATATTCGTTGCCACACGAACAGCTAGGTATATAGGTCTACTATTTGAGGATTTCTTGGCAAACCCTCGAAGTCCGATAGAGTAACAAATTTCATCGTATATTTCAACCACAGGAGAATTAGCATGGTACGCGGAAGCGAAGTGACTCGACGGGATAAAAATTTTCGCGTATCGCCCATTACGACAACACTGCTGCATCCGGTTATCGCAATTGAAAACTTTGAACACATCCGGGTGACAACTAATCAACTATATAATGGTATCGGATGCATGTCTAATGTGGATATTAACCAAAACAGCGCAATGAGGCTTTGCTTGAGTTATCAAGCCTGTGCAATCATAGTCTATGAAGAATTATACTACAGACATCGTGAAGCTGCTTTGTTCGGCATACTATCCGTTCTCCAGGATAACTTGAGAAATTACAAATTGAAATCTAATTAATTATCGACGTTTCCGAATTTGGTAAGCTCGCCGTTTGACATACTATATACGGCGTCATATCTGTCCAGAAACCTGAGTTGATGAGTTACACTAATCACAGTGTACTCGCTGAAGACCCGGAAGATAACTAGCTGCATATTTTTCTCGGTCTCTGGGTCGACACTGGAGGTCACCTCATCGAGCAAGAGGACACCACCTTCTACACGCGACTTCTTCTCCGCCGTCTCTAGAGCAGCGGTTTGGTCCCGGTGCATCTTTCTGCCTATAGCGATAGCGAGGCCGAGCAGCTGTTTCTGACCGTGGCTCAGTGCGTCTTTGGCGACCGGTGCGTGCAAGCCACCCATCCCGTCCACGGCATCCTGTAAACCTACCTCGGCGAGGGCAGTCTCACATTGCTCCACACTTAGCTTTCCATAGGGATCTAGAAGCTCTTTGAATGTTTCCTCGCCGGCTAGGAATATAGTCTCTTGCGGTACGGCAATGATCCTCCGCCGCAACGTCTCGCGATCTAGTTGCTGGAGCTGAATGCCGTCGATCGTCAGCTTCTCAGCTGTCTCCGGTGCAGGGTCGAGCAGCCGCATAAGAAGAAGAAGGAGAGATGATTTTCCACTGTAAAACCATTAACATCATAATCGTGCCACTAAACACAAGCGGGGTTTTGACGATTTCGGCTTACCTCCCCGTTCTGCCGACTATGGCAACTTTTTCTCCGCCCATGATGCTGAGACGAACGTCCTGAAGGGCATTGGGCTTCTCCCGCGCATCTCCGTAGCCTGCCGATACACCACTGATCTCTACACGACCAGAGCTGGGCCAGCCGTCCGGTGGATGCATCTCGTTGCCGTGCTTCTTTTCCGGGCCGATACCCTCGAAGTCTTTGAGCCGCTTCACGGCGCCGAGCGAGGTTTCCAACTGCACCCAGGACCGCACGGTCGCACAGATTAGATCGCTGAGAGTCATCAGGGACACCAGCCCTGCGCCGACGAGCCCGGCATGCGAGGTTGAGGAGATCTGCGTGGCGAAGCAAGTGACTGCGACGGCAATGATTCCGGATATCAGGTTCAGGCTGAGCGACAACCACTGCTGGACGAGATCTAGTAGGTAGTCCGGTTGCAGGGACTTGTCTAGGAGCAGACCATAGGATCGTTGGTAATCACCGGCCCATTTAAAAGCCCGGATGGAGATTAATCCCGTGGCCACTTCCTGGAATTTTGAGCTTTCGCTGTTAGTGGTGCGTGCCCCCGATTTCTAGAGTATCGCACCTGGACAAACTCACTATAGAGGACTCTTTGCTTCGAGATCAAGTAGTCTCAGCTGTCTTGAGGTCCTGAGGTAGTAGTTCTGAAGTACGTACAAGACCCCGAAAATGAGAGGGTATCCAACAGCCACGAACGGCGTTGCAACAGCTACCACGACGAGCTGCCCAACAACCGTGAAGCCGGAGAGGAAAGTGTTAGAGATTGCGAAAGTCAGATTATTGTCAAGCATGCCCATATCCTGCGAAAAGAGGTTCGTCGTAACTCCCGAGTCTACCGTACCGAAATAGCTCAACGGCAAGCTGAACAGGTGCCTGATGGCCCTGGCGTGGAGCTGCGAGCCTCCTCGTCTGGACATCAGAAGCTGCGTGCTACTACAGTACATGGCCAGGGCGACGACGCCGAAGACCTGGAAGACAGCGTACAGGCCTAGGTAGAATGACCGGGAATCGGACGCGGGCCGGTCAAACGTATTTCTGGTCCAGAAGCCGACCCATATTGTCCCAAAACTCCATGAAAAGCCGAAGAGGACGCCTGTCGCGACAACGAGGACCATGATTCCAGGGCCGAGAGCTCGGAGGTACAGAGCATATACTTGACTGTCGTGTCGACTTCGGAGAATGTTCGTTTCCGGATTGGTGACAACCGCTGTAGTGGCGGGCGGCTGGCCAGGCGGCGAACCATGAGTAGACGATTGCGCATCGAGCTCTATACTACCCGGCGCGCTTGCCTCGGTGAGATCGAACGTCTGCGGATCCGGAGGACCGCAACGCTGTACCATACCCTCTTTTCCCAGGACTATGACTTGTTGCGCTAGAGAAAGATACTTGGTAGAATGAGTACACCATATGACGGTCTTGTCCCGTAGGAGGCCCTGCGGACCAAAAAGACTCTGGACCACGGCATCAGCTGTTTTTATGTCGAGACCACTGAGTGCGTCATCCAAAACATAGATTTTGGCGTCGAGGTACAGCGCACGAGCCAGGGCTACCCTTTGTTTCTGACCACCACTGAGGGCCATCCCTTTACTGCCGATTTGAGTGCCATCTCTTTCTGGAAACGATGCAATGTCTACATCTAACAAGGTAGCTCGAAGGATGGATTCATACCTCGCAGCATCAAATGGCTCAGGTCCGATGACATTTGCCCGAATAGAGTCGTGCGTCAGAAACGCAGCTTGGTCACAGAAGCCTACTTTCTCGTGACAGGCCGCTCCAGTCCTGATGGTTCCCCCAACGAACGGCACTTCTCCCAATATACTCTTGCAGATTGTTGACTTCCCAGATGCAACAGGTCCTATAATTATCGACAGCTGGGACTCGAGAAAGGCGAGATTAAGATTCGAGAGTGTCCATCGACCTTCTTGCCACCCTAGGCATGCATCTTGGAATGAGAAGGACTCCTCCACGCCCTCCTCGTCTACAACAGGAGGAGCCACGTCGTAGACGCCTCGACATGGCTGAGCCAGGAAATCCCGGATTCTTCTGAAGCTCGCTGTGGATGCCAGCATCATCGGGACTGTCTGGAACAGCTGAGACAATGGGCTGGCGAGAAGTGTCAAGTATGCCAGAGAAACGTAGACCTGCGACGTATCAAGAGGGCGCCCGATGTCCGTGACGGCAAATGTGATCACAGGAGCGAGGAGCATCGGGGCAAAAGCGACACAAGTAGAGAACACCCCGAGAAGTCGAAATCTGCTTCCTGAGTTCAGCTCATCCTCGCGCAGACGGTGTGCCAGAGCTACCATCTGTTCAGCCCGGCCCGACAATTTCACCTCCTTGATCTGTGTGATTATGCCCGAAGTAAGCTTGACGCGGCCTTGGGTCTTGTCCGACCAGTCACCTTGCCATTTGCCAGCATACTTACCTACCCCCGTCGTAAGCCCGACGCATACGACCACAACGACGATTGGAGCCGCAAATGCAGCACCGAGTTGTCTTTGTAGGAGCCATGCTGCAAGGGCCACTTCTAAAGTATTCGCCCATAGCTCGTGTATGTTGTGCAGTCCGCCATAGACACGGTTGATGTCCAAACTCATCACGGTCAATACGGAGTCGTCGACCTCGGAGAGATGTAGAGATTTGTCGAAGACTATAGTGCCGAGTGTTGCACGAAGTCTCGTGAGGAGTCGATAGTGATAATACCAATACATGGACGCGGACAAGGATAGTCCCGAGTAAATGAGGATGCTGGCGCCGATGAGACCTGCCCCAGTATTGTTGTCCAATGTTCCGTCTCCTTGGAGGAAGCGGGTAAGCGTTTGGATGAAGAACGGCTGACAGAAAGAGAAGCCAATTAATAGCAGTCGCGCCGGAACCGGAGCAAGTAGCGCCAATCCTGCCGTTCGCACAAGGCGAAAGAGTATACTTATACTGTTTGCATTGTCATTGAAGGGTTCGTGCATCTTCCTGAACCCAGGAAGTGGATTATTTGAGGAGAGCTGGGTATCTAGAGGATATAAATCGTCAGAGTCAAGAACCTTGCGGGATCCCAAGTAGATCAGCGGGTTGAGCCACCACAGGAAAGCCAAAGAGTAAACTCCGCTGGTCTCTTCCGGGCTGATACCCTTCTGTTTTTGGTCATCCTCGAGCCAACGCTTCTTCGGGACTGCCTCGAGGACAGCGATGCAGAATTTGAAGATTGTTTTTATTGTGAATGAAACAGTGCATGAAAGCCCCCCAAATGCAAGCCACCAGGTCCTCGCCCGGGCGATATCAAACAAAACTGTCGGGACAAGATAGAGGCTGATCAGCACGGAAGCACGAAGACTTCTAGAGTGCTCGAGGTTGGAAATAACAAGTAGTAGTAATGTTGCCAATATGGTCAAGACCGCGGCTGCGGTGACTTTATCTCCGGCCTCATCGCGTGGTAACTGTTGAGCAACGAGTGCTAGAGTCGTGGACTCCAATGCTACAAGTGCCAGCAATGATGCCTTCCCATGTGGTCAGCCGCGTCCGTTATAAATATGGGCTGAGCGTAAACCCTACCGATTTCAGATATCGAATTGCATGACCTCGGATAAGCTTTTGGTAGCTAGTGAGGGTATGTAATCGCCACGCTGCAATGAGGATGAATAAACCTGAGGGTACAATAGACAGGATGGTTTCTTCAAAGGTGATGCTGAAGTCGAAATCGTTGCGACAACCAACGACGGCAGGGCCAAATGATCTATCGCCCGGACAGATTGATTGCATCGCGTCTGGATGCTAGAAACAAGTCACGACAATAGTATGCGATGGAAATGTCCAAACGGCATTCTTGATTCGCCGGACAGGGCTGCTTTAGATAGCATGTTTTTGATTGATCCCGACAGACAAGGCAAACAAGAGCTACGCAAGTAAGCATTTGCATATCATATGATTTTACCAATTGATCGGCCAGGCAATCAGAAGCTACGCGTATGAGCATGTGTATATTGCAACAAATTCGCGCCATCCCCAAATCGCTTAGTTCAACCGCCGAGCCTGGGATATAGAGCCAGGGTATGCCACGCAGGAATATTCTCTCAATGAAATCCTGAAGTCCAAACGACGACATGCAAAATGATCGGACCGTTTCTTGTGATTGTTCACAACCTTCAGTAAGCATACGTAGTTGATTATCTGGAAGCAAACGAGGAGTGTAGATATAAGTCGCCCCGAAGCCGTGGGCTGAGAGAGATGCAACTCAACCTGCTGCACAGGAGGCTGGCAATCTCTAGTAAACTTACAAACTCCGACCAGTGTATATTGCCTGATACGAAAGGGAGGAGGAAGTCCGTCCCAGATTTCTCGTCAGCCACCCCCTTCGTATCAGACTAGTTATCACACAACACCATATGACGTGGACACTCGCCTGGCAGTCGACCCCGAAGGGCTAATAGTGATCAATCCAAAGGAAAAGTACACAGTGTATCATCAAAACCTGGCCAAGTCATTGTCTTCTCCACCACCCATAACAACCATGATGGTATGGATCATATTCTGGAATTCGAGCAGATTGTATCTCTTGCTTTCATTCCAACACCACCAGAACTTCTGAATCAAGGTCCCTTTCTCATCGGCCGTACCCCTAGCACGTAGAACCTCCTCATTTGACATGACAAGCAAAATGTGCATGACATGCCCCCCAATTTCCGGACTCCTGGTATCGCAGATGTGGGCTCTGACACTCTTGGCCAGCTCGTTGCTCCCGAGCAGGATGGATTTGAAGATCTTCCTTATGGTCTCGAGGGCGCATAGTTTATCATCGAACGGCGTCGTCTCGCGGATCTTCTGCCGGATCTCCTTCACGTATCCCGCGATGGCATCGGTCGCGCGCTTCTTGGCGCCGAGGCGCCGGACCTCGTCGAACGTCTCCCACCTCTTCGCCGCGTCCGACGTGTAGAGCGCGTGCCAGGCCTTCTTGCTGTAGTGGTCGACGTCGAGCGGCTCCAACGGCTTCTCGTCGGCCCTGAGCTCGCATTCCCGGAGCTGGCTGTTGTATGCCTGCTTGATGGCCGTCTGGGCCGACGGCGCCATGGACGCCAGGCGGACCAAGGTATCTCGGACTGTCTTGTCGTCGAGCGCATCGACCATTGCCTGAAAGCCGGGCGCGTCTTTTCCCACAGTGGTCTTTGCTGGGCTCATGATCCGCAAAGACTTATGGTCACCGCTTGGTTGTCGCCGCGGAGGGCCCGCGCCGCGCCTCACCCCTCCGCCGGCCACGTCCACGTCTTTGGTCAGATCCACCACTTCCGTCCATGCACCGACAGTAGGAGCGTCACCGTCATCCGCACTTCCCCAGCATCTGGAACAGTCCGGATCACCACAACCCTCGCCATCGCAATGCAATCGACGTGGCCGTTTGGTGCCGCGTGGTGGCATTTTGCGACAAGATGTTGGGAAACAGTTTGGATTTCAAGTCCGAATAATGGCCAGGCAACCCTGCTGAATTTAGCCTCTGCCACCGCTGCAGGGCTCAGGTATAAAGTGTGCCTGGTCGACGCAGCTATACAAGTTGATTACCCCGCATTTTCGGGTCCATGCCATTGCTCTACATGCTCAGGAACGGCATTTGGGAAACTTGCAAGACAATTGACGATTCATGAAGTAACGCAAGGCAGTCAGACTGTTAACTATTCACAAGGTCGCCTTGGGCACAAAATAGGGATTTGGTAGAAAGATGCTTAGATAGCGATAGCATCTCTAGTGCTCTATTTGACTCATGACTCGCCCTTGATTTTGGTGTCCTATGATACATTCAAAGGTAGTGACAAAAAACAAAAACAAAAATGCCTGAATCTGAGTTCCCAACAACTCCAAACCATCCCAGAACAATATTACATTGCATGTTAGCGGCCCAGGCCCGGCTACATCTACTGACTTCCTGTTTGCAGATGAGCCTCCTCAATTGCAGACCGGCGCCTGAAGACACGCAGCCATCTCTCGCCCCATCGCTGAATGATCTCCTCGCGCCTTCCACCGGCGCCATCCATAGATTCGGCAGGGTCCAACATCTGGTCCTTGGCGCCGTCAGACCAGCCGACTAAAGCATCCTCCATGGCTTTGAACAGCTCGCGCATGGCTGTGACCTCACCATCGGCTTCGCTGCCGCCGGACCCGGTGCTAACTTGTCTCACGCGGCCTGTGACCTTGACTACAGTCTCGAACACCAGCTCGAACACCCAGCTCTTTGTCAGTGCGTCGCCTCCGGAGCCTGCCTTGCCACCAACAAGAGCCCACTCAATCACGGCGGCAGGTGTGATAATGGTGTAGTTGAGCAGCTTCTCGACAATGGTAATGGCAATGCCAGGATGTGCTGACCAATAAGTCATGACGGATGTGATGATCTGCTGCCTGGCAGCCTCGGAGGCGGCGCCGATATCGAGCAGGCGATCCTTTGTTCTCTCGATGGCAGCTAGAACATGTGACAGGGACTTGGAACCAACCCAGCAGACTGCAGTTACGAAGACATCGGTGCTGCTGACAAGAGGATCAATTGACAGCTCGAGAGCAGCCGAGTGTATGCGATCGACGACGGGCTGGATTTCTTCATCCGGCGACTTCTTCTTGAGCAAAGTCGCCAACTCCTTTCCTTCAGCAGAAAAAGGTGTATGCTCATCGTTGAATTTGAACTCTGGGGTATCTTGTTCTTTCTCAGGACCAATGAGACCCTGATAATTCTCGGGGAGGGTCCCCTTGATTCGTTGTGCGAAACTCAAGCGAATCTCCTTATCCAGGGCTCCTACGATGAAAGACTTGCAAGGGTGGATGTCTGGCAGATCAACATCGTCGGCCCACTCAGCCCACTTCCACATGAAGCCGAAGTTGCTAAGATGGTGTGTGAACCAATCCAGGAATCGGTAGCCCAGCTCCAAATCCAGCCTATGAAGATTCTGATACGAATAACGAATTGCTCGGCCCAGACTTGGTGCGATGGCTGCAGGTGCAATCTTGCAAGCCTCAGTCAGTACCGAGTGGTAGTAGACCAGCTTATGCTCGGGTGTCGGTAGCTGGAAAAGCTGCGAGAAGACTGCGTCAACGGCGACGTCTTCGGGCTTCCAAGTTGAGCGGTCACCATCGATTTCCCGGAGTCGGTCGAAGGGAGTTGCTCGCTTGACGAATGTGCCGTCGGCAAAGTAACAGTCAACGTCGATAAGGTATCGTGCCGTGACATTCCGATTGAAATCTAGAATGTTGATGGTATCCAGTAGTGCATCTCGTACGAGCGATGCGGCGATATTCGTGAGCGATGGAACCGACTCAATTTCCTGATTCATGTAGACAGAAAAGTAGATCTCGGGAAACAGAGGCCTAGGACCGGCAATGACAGTCTCTGGTATGGTAATGGCTGGCAGAGCATGCTTCTGAGCACTGTCCAGTTTGTCCTGCTGCTCTACTTCTTCCAGAGGCAGCTTCCATGGGCGAGGCAGACACGACAGCTCCCAGCCGTTGTTGGCCTCATTCTGCAACTGCTTCTGCAAGAGCCCTATCAGGCTTGCGTTGGCGGCCGGGCTTTCTTCGCCGCTCTCGGGATGGTAGGGATCGATGAGAACTTGCAGGGCATGAGGCTCGGAGGCAATGACGTCGGTTTTGTCCATGAGTTCGGCGGCTTTTTGTTGTCCCTGTCCTGGGGTGGATGCCATTATGTACGGGATGGTCAAAAGAATGATCTTGACGAGTTCGGTGCCGATTGTGTCATCAGAGCTGCTGGTCTGGAGTTCGACGGCTCGGTCCAAAAGCTCTTCCAAGACAGGGAACAAGCCATCGCCCTCCAGACAACTCTGTAGACAGGCCAGGAGTTTGAGGTGGAGCTTGACGTTGCGCCAATCACCAATGTTGATCTGCTCTTCAATCAAGGGAATGATCTTGGCAAGAACATCGGCTGCGACGTCGGGTCTCAGAGAGTTGGCGATTAGGACGACAGCTGCGACGAAGGGCGTCTTGAGCGGCTGCTCAAGCACCAGCTGTGTCGTCAGGTCTAGGAAGTTACTCTTGACTTCCTCCTTGTCGTAGTTGTCGGCCACCGCGCTGGCAATGGACTGTACCTCCTCGTGCCATCTTCGTAGAGGCGACTCGGCCAAGCTCAAAAGCTGTTTGCGGATGCGGAAATGAACCGGCGGCGGGTTATCGTATCTGCGTCCACCACGGGGCTGTCGGCGATCAAAATCGTCGTCTTCTGTAGTTTCTGTTAGCAACAATCCCGGTCGCAGTGCTACGCCGGCGAAGAAATCGCGGCAGAGCTGGTTGATATTTGTGTTATTGTCACGTCATGCCATGACTGAAGCTTGAGAATAGCTTCCAAATGGCATGCGCTTTTCTTTTCTTTTCTATTATGTTTTATGCTGCTGCAAAAAGGATGGCGCGTACCTCTAAAGCGACGCTTGCGATTATGACCACCGCCGCCTTGTCTGCGATCGTAATCTGCCATTGCCGCGATTCGCCAATGTATTGTGTGTTGGGCGGGAGGCGTGAGACGTGAGGCGTGAGGCGTGAGGTTGAAGCTGCTGTTACAACGAGACGCGCAACTAAGCACAGCACAGCACGGACTAGGATGTGCTGGAACTAAAGTAGGTTACTGTAACGTCAAGAACAATCATCAACGAAGCTACAATTGAACGATCATGAGGCTGGTGAGCTGTGGCTGATGTTATCTTCGTCTTATCCATTGGATATCTAACCTTGTGTACCTCAGAATTGTCGTTTTTAGTGGGGTCGATTTGTGTGGACTTTGCTCAGATACAGATTCAGATACAGATTCAGATACAGATTGAGATTCAGATACAGATTCAGATGCAGATGCAGATTGCAATTGCACATTCACAATTTTGATTTCAACGTAGATGCAGCCGCTGGCAGTCACTACTCATTAGTGAGCCCAGTCTGTCGCAGGAGCAGCCCGTAATAGTGAATACAGTAAATGTTTACAGCTCACCAAACGGCATGGCATACATAACAACGTTCACATGAAAATCTTGAACATTAAAAAAAAAAAAGGGAGGGGGGGGGGGGGGGGGGGGGGGGGGGAGAAGAAGAAAAATCAGCACAACAGAGTAACAAGACAATTCAACGTACGGTAGGATGCATGGTCAGAGGTCTCTTCATTGATTTGTCGTCTTTCTTATCATGAAAGTAGCCACAGCATCATCTGGTCTTTAACAGTTCCGTTCTTTTTGCCACCATGTTTGACTGGTACAAATTTACCTGTCCTTTTGTTGGAAAAGAAAATCTTTTAGAAGTTGACGCCAGGTCTCCCCGATGGCATACCAAATTCCACTCAAGCCTGTGCTGCCAAGAAGCGGGGGGAGGGTATCTCTCCTCGCCAAATATCATGATACCATACCTACTCCTTGCCATGTGCACGCCTGAAAGTTCCCCCACACGGCAGCATCTGCAAAATAAAACATGTACGCCAATTTTGTCCCCCCCCCCCCTTTTCATCGAGCACGAGCACGGGGCAACGTCTTTGAAAAAAAAAAAAAGGCACGAGTTCCAGTTCCAGCACCTCGTGGCCAGGCCAACAAGGATAAACCGAGTAATCGAACAAGACCAGTAACGAAGATGCTATCACAATCATGCAAACAAGTCTGGAGCATTCAAGCCCATTGCCGGCCTTTCCACCAGGTTGCCCCATGTGATGTAGAATTCTTGCTCCCGCCAACCGACAGAGACAGACTTCAACGTTACCTCTTCAGGCCTCAACAGGTTGAGAGCCCGACTAGTCTTCGATGCTGCCTCAAATCTTGGTAGAAGACCATTCCCTCCCCAAGCTGTCTGATCCTTGGCAACTTCGCTAGGAAGACGACATGCCAGGCTTGCGAATAGTTGGATTCTTCAAGGCTCGTAAGGTCTCTATGGTTCCATCTGGTAGACTGGGCGAAAGCATCAAGAGCCATGTTACGAGGCTCAAATATTGTAAACGATAGCTGCGGTATCGGACCAGAGTTGACACTTTGAAAGAACAGCAGAGATCAGACCGAGTCTCAGTCCAACCTGGCCATCATTTCAGTCTTTGAAAGAGGCGTCAAGTTGTCGATATCTAGGCCTCGCGATGCCAGCTCGGGCTTGACGTGGGCTGGCACCAACTTGGAGTTCAACGAAGGGGCGATAGATAGTTCTGTTGCTGGTTAGTTGTCGTGCCCAAGATTGTCCACCATTAGCATATATGCAAGCACTTACCGTGCTTCGTGAAGTCGAATAGGGGAGGCAGATCTTTCAGAACGCCAGTGGAATGGCGCGAATCTGGGAACTTGGTGTTGGGATCTCGAAGCTCGTCGAAGAATGGATGAACCATGGCATCGACGGCACGAAGACGCTGCGTAGGGGTGTACTCTAACAACTTGGCAATGAGATCAAGCGCGTCGGCGTCGGCCTTGCGGAAGACCTTGCTGAATGGATGAGGCTTGATCTGGGGGAACTTGTGCTCCATGTAGTTCGGATTCATAGTTCGGATCTGCTCTCGTGTCGGAGTTCCCAGAACCTTGATGATTTCCACCAACTGGTCAATACCCGACTCTCCAGGGAAGAGCGGCTGGCCGAGCATGAGCTCTGCCATCACACAACCCGTGGACCAGACGTCTAAACCGTGGTGAGCTAATCATTTCATACACAAGGGGGGCGGGGGTAAAATCAAAAGAATTTGAACAAGAGAGAGGGAGAGAGAAGAGTACTTACCAATCTTGGTGGTGTAGTTTGTGGCACCAAAAATCAGTTCTGGCGCACGGTAGTATCTCGAGCAAATGTATGAGACATTGGGCTCGTTCTCCACCAATATCTTTGCACTGCCGAAATCGCAAAGCTTGAGTATGCCTGAGTTGGGATCCAGGAGCAGGTTTTGCGGCTTAATGTCACGATGGCAGATGCCTTGCGAGTGGATGTAGGCTAGAGCTCGGAAGAGCTGGTAGATGTACAGCTTGACCTCGAGGATCGGCATTGTAGTCTTCATCTTGTTAAAGAAGCGCGAGGCTCGGTACACGGTCTCAGGGACAAATTCTTGCACCAGATTCAGGTAGACCTCATCCTTCTACTCCGAGTTAGTTGCGGTTCGCGATTTCTCGGGAGATTCTATTCATTGGACTCACACGCTCGCCATTGGAGTAGTAGAAGGCCTTGAGCTGAACAATGTTGGGGTGTCGAACGATGCGCATGATTTGTAGCTCACGATTCTAACAAAACCTGTCAGTAAGGGGTGGGGGTGCTGCACTGGGTGCTGTTATGCTGAAATACCTTGAATCTTTTATCCTGGAGCACTCGCTTGATTGCAGCATCTTCACCCGATGGGGAGAGCTTGGTCTGGAAGACTACACCAAAGGATCCATTGCCCACAATTTTGCATTGAGTATAGGATAGATCCCTTGTTTCGCCAGTAATGCCATCCTGTACCTTCTCGCGGATAATCTCTGGCCTACTATTCAGTCTCTGTCGGGGTCGTGCCAATTGTCAAGGGGCTGGGTAGCTTACCTCCCATCCTCAGTGAATTGAAGGCCGCGCTGGGCCGTGAAGAGCTCATACTGAGGGGTTGTGGACCGGATATAACTTTGAGACGTCGAGGCGGATTCTTCTGTTGTTGTGCTCGTGGCGCCTTGTCGGGTAGATCGGAGAACGGTGCAATGTAGGACTCAGTTTTCAGTTTCTTTTCTTTCTATCCGAGAGCCCTTGTGACTACAGACAATTTGATACCAGCGGGCAACTGATTGAAGAACAGCTGAGTCAAGGTTGATGAATGTGCTGAAATGGAGGTTGCTATGGGAGGTTGGCGGCTCAAGACGGAATGCAATAGCGCACGAGGTCGGGTGTCTTTCGCTGTTTACAATCTGACCCGTCTGTCTAGTCCTTTGGCGAATTGTTAGAATTGATTCGCAGGTGCCAACATGAAAAGTCCTTCCTCTGACTGCGGATATGTGTATGGTGCCTCAACAAGCTGGGGTGCAGACAAGCAGGCAATGGGTAGAATAGAACGGTGGTGGTTGCAATGGGGAGGAATTGAATGGAGGGGAGCGGGGGGCTTGAGGGAGTGGATCTTTGTTGGTGAGAACCAGCGCCCTGTTTAGACCCCGGAAAGCCCGCTAAGAAGCGTACAGTTATGTAATGAGGTAGGGTTCTACAAGATGCTAGGAACTCGGGCCCAGTAGTGAAGTGTGTGCTGTGGGTGAGGGCGGTTGCGGCTTGCAGGAAATAGAAATAGAAATGGGAAAGAAAGAAAGAAGAAAAAAACACCACAAACAGCGCATGAGGGAGGACTGAGGGTTTTCGCGAGGAGGAGGAACTCGATCGCTGCATGTAGGCTTGCTTAGGCGTAGGCATAGGCTTAAGCTAGGAGGGAGAAATGGGGGACGAGGAAGCTAGAAAGTACCGGGTTCTTGGAGCTTTGGGTGGGTAAAGGTGATTTGCGCTTGACGTGATGACCTTTCTCGCAGTGAACGAACATGGAGCAATCGCTTCAACCTGACCGCGGGGAGGCATTGAAGGGCAGTGCATTGCAGCGCAGTTGCAGTACGCGTTGCGGTACAGTCCAGGACAGTACAACGCAGCAAAAAGGAGACTGGTGACTAAGTGGGCATCCGCAACTGGGAAGTGATGCTGAATAAACTAACTTACCGATGGTTTGAGCATATACCGATCTGTATAAGAGAAGAGGGGGGAGGTGTTTAGGAAGTATAGCTTCTTTTTGAATGTATGTCTCAGGTCGATGGGTTGCAAGCTCTGGGCAATCAACGTCGACTTTGGACAAATCTCAGTAGTTCGTAAAGGCAATTGAATGAGTTGCCAGAAGCAGTTGCGAGCCACAGGGAGGGGTAGGGCTTTAATTGATCGGCGCGCTTGCGTGAACAGACTGATTGAATGTTCAGGTGACAAGGCCTAATTTGGTACGGATGTCAAAGTCACGTTGAGAGTTGGATCTTTGCTTTCCTCTGCCCGTCTCAAGCTTAAGCTACAAAGACCAAGCTTGGGGAGTTGGATGATTGTCGCAAGACTATAACGCGCCAGGCTGTGGATAGTGGTTACTTTCAGCCTCCCTCGTAAATATATTGACTCGACTCGACTCGACTCGAGATGTCAAAGAGTCAAACTTGGCTGGAATTGTTCGTTCACACACAATCTGCCCTCGAAACTTTTGCCAGGCCGAGAAGTTGGTCCAGTGACAGGTCCACGATCGGTACTTGGTTGGCCAAGTCAATGGAGGGGTCGGCTCTAGTTTTGCCAGTCTTGCATGTAGTGTACGGATCCGTAGAAGTGACGAGGACGAGCGAAGAAGGGTGAGCCTGTCTGGTGGGGTATCGGTACGTATCTCGCTGGGCGACAGACCAGAGCTGAAAGTTGTATGCAGGCCTCCAGATGCGATTCTTTTGACGCACAATGAGACGCAGTCAAGTCTGTGGCGGCAATAGGCGTGAGTTGATTTGTTGCAAGCTGTCCGACTTGACTCCTACGTTCGAAGTTCGAATCGACGACCAGATTCTTTCCTTGATAATGTAATGTAATGGCGAGTGGTGAAAACAACCTCTTGCTCTTCCTCACAAGATGATGTTGTGTATGTCGTGTGTCGACTGATCAAGTGCAATGCTTTGCCCCTCTCAGCTTTCGGCTCAAGCTTGCTCTGGGCCACGGGACCTTGTACCTGGTGACCCCCGTGTACTTTGCTCCTCCCTTCGTCTGGACAAACACGCTCGTTAGACGAGTCAAAGACGGTATAATCGAGACGCACTTTAGACACAATATAGGAGGAATATAGCAGAAACTCTATCAATGGGGAAAAGGCACAGGCTTGGAGGTAGGAGTGGGAAATTGTTTTATTATTAACTGTTACCCATTCCCCTCGAGGTACTTGCACCTCACTACTATTGCGTATGTAGCATCTGAGGTCCCTAAGTTAATGGATTGCTGCGAGTCAACGGGCAGGGGGCCTTGAAAAATGGGGCTATGCGAATTGCTAAAGGTCATGTGGCCTTCCTGAGACGAGCGCTAAGACTCGGCAGCCGAAGTCAAAGATGATGAGCTTAGGACCAAACACAATGGAAATGAATTGAGTTCACTTGTGCAAGTTGGCTTCCAAACGTCATTGGAATCTTGCAACGTGATGCTCACATGCAGGGTCTACAGGAACACAATAGATGTTGATTGTCTATGGGCTTGCAGTACAATTGTATAATAACGTATGCCTGGCTCTGAAAAGCATACCACCGGAGCAATGTCCTGACAGTCATCATGTTGGATAATACTTGTGGTTTACGCCTCAACGTGAATCGACTATAAAACTCAAAAGCTAACAGCGGCGTATGTACAAGTTCGGTTCAGAAACACGTTGTTTAGCTGTGTACCTGTAGTTGCCGTGTGTTCCTGAAACCGCAATCAATAGCAATCAAGTAATATGTATGGCACTGCATAATAATAACAACACATGAAATGCCTTGGTAGGCCAAAACACATCTTCCAAGCCACGCTTATCGGTGATTGTCTTGGTTCCCAGAGAGACATTTGAATGCAGCGGTGCTGCCTCATATCACCATGCCCACTGGCTAGTACAAGCCTATTGCGGTTGACGACGACGACATGACGCTGTGCAGCGTCAAAAGACAATTTCTACGACAGCCAATGCCAGAAGGTGTATATGCTTGAGATTACTTCAGGCAGGCCTTGGAAAGGATGGCCCACATTGCTAACCTAGAGCTTTGTTAATGTAGGTACATAGCACTGTGAAGTGTTCCACATCCAATCCTCTGATCTCGCCGACCACAGCTGCAACCTCCATTGGGACAACCCACTAGCTTCTGGTTCATTGCCTGCCCCGCACTTTGACACAGACCAGTCACTAACCTACTGTAGAGGGAGAGTTTGGGTGGAGGGTTGCACTTTTCCACTTGTTATGTATGCACCATGCGAGAAAGACGTCCTGTGTGTTCATTTTGTCAATTGAGCCCAGACGTTCCTTTCCTGGCCGGATGGACAACACAGTTTTTGGCACGGAATTTAAATTCAAGCCTACCAATGAAAGACCGTCGTCTGATTGCTGTATTCGACACCAGACAGAAAGCACTCAGAGAGCCGTCGACTTTACCAAGTATTAATCTGCCGATAACTAGTTCTCCGACTGGCTGGTTCATGAACAGCTAACCCCCCTTGCAAGAGCTCATGCATCATCAGACCTTCCCGCATATAATTGTCAGAAGCAGAAACAGAAACCTGCATCGCAATTCGCCAGATTATCTTATTGTTCAAGGGGATGGCCCGCACTACATGCCTTGGCTGCAAGACCTACCGACGAGTGATCTTCCCAAAGCTCTAACAAGCTCCATAACATAAACTCCTGGTGCCTTGACCAGGGCAATGGTACACCATCGTGTCAATCAATCATGGAGTCATGGGCACTGCCATTGAGATGCTGTGGAAACATTGTGCCTGTGAGGCTCAAGCCATTGGCCCACCCACGTACGATAAACATTTGGGAACGGTCACACTGTCAGGAACCTGATCGCCAGGGCCAGTAATGCAACAATAACCGTTCCCTGGGCTCACAGGTTTCCACTTAACACAACGACGTTGCAGGATCTAGTGGATACATTTCCCAGCTTGCAGCAAGCTTATAGGCGAAATTGACGGCCAGGTGGCTCGATTCTGGATACGATCCGGTCACCAGACCTCAAATCAATTACGCTAACTGTAAACTTTCTATATTCTGTACTTCAGTATCCTGGTCCAGTCTCCCAAAGATCAGGGCCAGGAGGCTCACGGTAATCCGCGTAAAATGGCCCGGCACCAACTACCATGTCCAACGTGACCATGATAGGGCTGTTCTGCAGCTGATAGAACGGGATCTGCCAGCTTACGAGATCAGGCCCTGACTCCGTCAACACTTTTTTAAGTCGATGAAATTTGACGACAGCCTATCGGACAGATCCCATCTACTGAGGCTACTAGAGGCCCAGACCAGATCCAGGAACCAGGAGATAGTCATCGGGTTCGTGATTCACGCCGACAACTCAGCGAAACCACAATTTCGAAGAAAAACGGTGCAGGAACCTTTGAAGACTTTCGGCACTAGTATCGCCAAGCCAAAATTACATGCATCATCGTGATTGGACAACAACTCGCCAGATGCACCCAGATCACCTGCAACGACGGCCTCGATGATGCCAACGATTCCAAGATGCACACACTGAGGTTGCCCCCAGAATCATCGTGCTTGCTGTCTGCCGAGTTTGTGTCTCCTTCAAGCAAACAGACAATCGAAGCGGGTATGTAGATGGCTCCGAATTGAAGATTGGGGTACAAGGTGGGAATGCTCATCGGGAGTACCCCGAAGAGCAAGAATCACGTAATGAAACTTTGCTTGCCACGTGAGCCAGTGTTGGCACCACAGCATATCGCCAACCATTATTGCGGGCATTAACATATATAGTACCAGCGATCAGCGTCGCTCAGATACAGAGGCATCCGACAAAACACGCACAATTGTTGCGTTTTAGAACTTGGTTATCATCCGAGTTATACGTCCAGGAGCAGCGACAGCCT